CAAAATGCACAAATGTGCAAAGTACAACCCAAGGCTGAATAATACAGCCAATGGCTGAAAGAGTGGGAGGACAAGTCAGAGACCGCCTAGATCCGCAGCTAGCCAAGCTAGAAACTAAAAACAAGACTCAAAGACGACCGACACTACAACACAAACAAAGTAACACTAAGCTCCCCAAGGGAGAATATGGTACGCTCCCCACGGGAGAATATGGAACGCTCCCCACAGGAGAAGACCCGAACACAGTCGGGCACACACAATACAGGGGCCAACGGCCCAAACCAAAAACACAATACAACAAGGGGCCAACTGCCCATACCTAAAAACACGAATACGAACACCAACACAGACAAACACTGAACAGAAATAAAACTAAAACATCAACAAAACAACTAAGTATAACAAATTAACGCCCTTCCCCAGCAACCGAACGGATCGTAACCAGCAGAGAACCAATCAATCCAGGAAAGATCCAAAGCCCCGGGCACAACTTCCGAAACTGCTGCCGAACGCCTATACAGAAGCCAAACCGAGACCCCAAAACTAACCCGAACCAAACGCACCTTCAATCGAGGGGACAACCAGCCAACTCCCCACATCGACCCCGCACGAGCTCGCCTAACACCACTAGCCAGGCTCGGCTGAGCCAAACCCCCCAAGTTTTCAACACCAGAAAACCAGAAGGGAGAGAGTGACTCGATCCCCAACTCCAGATTCCCCGACACAAAGGTCGGAAAAACGAGAGTCTCACCCCACCCCCTATAGCCCGCACTCCTCCCCGCCCCACCAAAACCCGCCGGAAATCCACGCTCAGAGGTCCTCCCAAGAAGCCCCACCAGAAGGCAATCACGACCCAACCAAACCACCAAAGATCGCGGCAGTCCGAGGGCCTCTCCGGCAGCCCCACCAAAAGGCAAGGCCAACCGATGACACCGATCCGAAACAGATCGAGGGACTAACCTGCGGTAATCGGAGACCCACTGGCAGAGAAGACTACAATTGCCGACCCAACGAAGATCCATCGGCTGATTGAGGCTCTCCACCACGAGACCCGACGGCAATCAAGGTTAGAAACTCCAAGCTTCCAACAGCCTCAGCAACGACGGAAGCGGACGCGAACAGAACAGGGGGTGGCCGAGCGGTCAAAGGCGACCGCTGGCCCTAGCTCGCCGTCGCCGGGAAAGGCACCGCAAATTGAAGAAGGGTCTGGTTGATTTGGGGGTTTTCTGATTTTTTTCGAGGAGGAGAGATCCCATTGTGGTAAAAGTATTTGAAAAATGAAAAATATAAATAATAATTTAATTCTTAAAAGAATATTAAAATGTAAATAAATAACTAATCTCTCCCCATTTTTTTAATTTTTATTTTTAGATAGCAAATATACAATCAAGTGTACCTCACACACACAAACACACTAATACATNTTCAATTAAATTTTCATGCTTAATAATACTTGTTCTTCAACTAATTAAAAAATGTATTTTTATTATATATGTTGATCTTAGTCTTATTCAATCCTATAATTAAAATGATATATAAAGTTATAGAAACACTTTTGACACATAAGTTTTTCTTTCTTTTTTTTTTTCAAAAATCGAAAACTGAACCGAATCGCCGAAAAATTAAATGGAGACGTATCGATTACTTTGGAAATGTGTTAAATATTATATACGTAATTTATATAAATAATATAACTTATATATATAAGAATAGAAATGTGTTAAATATTAAATAAAATAACTTATATGGTACTTAAAAAAAACCAACAGACACGAACACGAACATGTCGAATAATACAAACACGAATATGTTGAATAATACGAACACAAACTTGTACAATTTCAACAGTTCGCAAACAAGTTTGACTATACAAACGAATGAATACAAACTTGTCGAACCGAGAAACGAACGAACACGATCATGTTCAAAAATTAGTCGAACCAGGCTCGAAAACCTTAAGCTTAGTTCAGTCGCTAACTCTTAATTGAATTTCTTGAAAATCTCTAACACTTAATTGAAAATCCTTAATTGAATTAAAATTCTAAGTCTCTAAATTAATCTAAGTATATCTAACACACAATAAGTAAAACACTTAAACACAAGAATTCGTTCCCAACAAAAAACATAGCCGCACTTACAGTACAAACGTGATTTCGCACTCAAGTCACAACACAGAGTATTCGCCGGCGACGGAAGTTTAACCAGAACAGATAAATTCCACAACCCGCGACGTCACCGGTGGAGAAGGACTGAAGCAAGAAGGGAAAAAAAAAGAAAGGAAACATAGAAAGACATACCACTTGCCGTCGGCGTCGCCGGTTATCTGCCGTAGGTTGGTCGCTATCATTGGTGGAAGAAAAGGCACAAGGTAATTTTTCAATTCGTGTAGTATACTTTGACAATTTAGCAATTTTTTATCTCCTGTAGCAAACCTTGAGTTCACTTATACATATATGTTGAATGTAAGTTTGTTGGAAAATCCTCATCTAACGAACACACTCTATTTTTTTATCTATCAAGGGGCTGAGGCGCTAAGGCCCCGCCTCGCCACGCCTCGCGCCATTGTTTCCCATGGCGCTGCTATTTTAATCACTGGGCTAATGTATAAATTTATCTGTGAAAATTCCTAGTTATTAGCATTGATCGGATAGTTATTGTTCATCCCTTAGTTGTTGTATGGTATTCATATAAGATGTACAATCAAATTTGAGTTTTGAGGTTGCAAGGTGGCTGTTTGTGTTATTTTTGAACCAGGGAAAATATCGGAGTTTTCTAGATACATAACGTGCTAAGTCGAGTCTAGATGCGAATCATTTGATTACAAGGCTATCTGCTTCATGTTGTATCTGGTTGGGGTTCTTCTTCATGTTCTATTGTAATGGTTGGACTTTTAGGTTTTTTATTTGTTTGGCTGGCTATTTGGTCTGGTTGGAGTTTTTTGTTTGACTTTAGAGGATAATTGCTTTGTATTTTGCTATTGAATTGGTTAAATTAACAGTGTATGTGTGTGGTTATGTTTGGACCTTTTCATGCGTGCATACAGATGGTGGGAGAGGGTAGAAGAGAGTTCATTTTATGGGTGCTTTTATCTGGGGTATGTGGCCTGTAAGTATTTGATTAGGTGTTCCATAGGTTCCATGAGTAGCATACTACCATGTCGTTGTGTTCGAGAAACACCGATAGGTATGGCGTTGTGATTATTTTAATGTTTTTCTTGTAGCTATTGTGTGAACCCATGCCTTTTACATGGTTGTTGATTAATTTTATACATTTGGATCTTATCTCAAAGTGGTGATAGGTGTTGAAAAAAAGTATTGGGTTGCGTGTCATGTGCCTTATTCTTTACTGTGTATGCAATTGTGTATGCACCGTGTATTATTGATTAGTATATGTGCCCATATGATGGGACTGTGATTCTGTTGCATTATTTTCTTTTAGTTTGGTGTGTGTATTTTTGTCTATTGGTTTCTTACTTATTGCTTTTCTTTCTGATTCTACTTAACCTTTTGGTTGATGATTATTGATGGGGATTCCTCACAATCTTGTGCCTACAAAGTTATATATGGATTTGTGCTTGGTGTTTATTTGTTTTTTTTTTCCTTGAATCTTTGCTGGTTGTGGTGTGTTTGACCTATATATGTATTATCTTTTTGGTGTTGGCTTCTGCATGTGCTCTGTTCTTTTATGGTGTTATTCTTGGCGAGGAAGAATATCAACATTTTTTTATATATTTTATCCTTATTATTTTGGCATTCATAAGCTTGCTATTTGTTTGTCCTGTAAGCAAGCAGGTGCAGTGGTGATTGCTTAGTATATTCAAGTAATTGCTTGTGGTGGCTTGGTGATATATAAAGTTTAGCTTCAGATTTTCAGGTATTTGTCCTGTAAGACATAACATTTTGTTGCCACAAAGCTTCCAATAGGCAGTCAAAATTGTGTAATTTTACCATGAAATGTTATACCTAATGCTTTGGCGGATATATGTTGTGGTATGGGGATATAATTGTAGCCCCAATTTAAACAAATCTTATTACTGTATAATGCGAAAAAGTTCACATGACACTTTTGTTGTAATTACAAAACTAGATCAATTGAACAAAAAAGTCCGATTGGATAAAACGACAGATAATATTATAAATCAAAATACACAAAGTGCGAATACACAGCAGTCCACGACTGAATACACAACAGCCAACAACTGAAAAAGTGGGAGGACAGGTCAGAAGACCGCCTAGAATCCCGGCTAGCAACGCTAGAAAACACACTCGCAACTAAACTAACCAGGAACACAAATAACTAAAAAACAACTAAAACAACTACAAGGACCCCAACAGGGTAATACCCGAGTGTCGGATCCCAACATGATAATAAATTTGACACCCGGGCTCACAGAGGCCAAATGGCCCAAACCAAAAACACAAACCGATACACAAATACAAACACAAACAAACGCAACAAACACAGAACAACGACAACTAAGAAATAAGAGTTTTTCATTTTCAGAGAAAATAAGAGTAGAATGTGTTGTACATATATATTTTTTTTCTATGTAAAGTGCCTTAGGTAATGAGGAGGGAAATTCGTGAAAGTTTTAATAGTAGTTACTACTAGTAAGACTTCTTGTTGTCTACTGTCCATGTAAATAAATTTTCTTTTTCTATTTTTCTTGTAAGTTACTACTAGTAGTTACCTTGCATTGCTTATTTGGTTACTTGTTTGATTTATGTAGTGATTGTAATTTAAGTTTTTGTAGTTGACAAATTAGGGATTTTTAACGTTCCCCACATTAGTGTTCCTTTAGATGGTCTGATGTTTTCTTTTTCACACAAAATAAAAAGAGAGTGGGTTTTCACCCATCATAACTTTGTATTGTCTTTAGAATGAGCTGTCGCACTAACATCTGAATCATACTGTTATGCTATTGTAGTTGTGTAAAGTGTTTGTATTGTTATGTGCAGTCTTCAAGAGGATTTTAACCACTAAATACAATATATGCAGGCCTTGTAGGATCAGTTCTTGCTAAAGAAGGCAGGATATCTATTGTTTCTGATTTTTTCTCTAGTGCACTTAAGGTAAATTTGGATAATGACAACAATTGTGGGGTGCCAACTTAAAATTTTCCAAGTTATCTGATGAGAGAAAACTTTTCAACATTTTTACTTGCAGATTGTTTTCAAGCAACTCAAACAAGATGATTCAGCTGCTTCGAGTTCCAGACCAAGGACTGATCTTTTGGTGCAACAGGTTTGGTGTTTGCGCTCTTTATTAGGGTTCCCACACTTGTGATATCCAAGTTTGACTTCTTTACTTGTAGTGGCCAAGTTATTTATTACATGATGTTAATAAATGAATTGAGCATTTGTTTATCTGTATTCTTTCAGGTTAACAGTATTCGTCAGGAACTGCAACTTCTGGCATCAAATAGATCTGTTACAATTGTCACTGGAAACCGATCAGGTTGCTTTAGCAATTTCAGTTAACAATGAGAGCATTTAATGTGATTATATTTTCCTGACGGAAATGTTGCAGTTGGTTTCAGTGAAAACTGTTTGCATGCACTATAATTAATGCACTGTACCCCAAACTTCCAATAAGTAAAATATGCAGCATGCTAGTTTTTGGGACCTGAACATTCTATTCGGTATTTAGCATCTGCATTTGCTTTTTGCTGGTGGTATTTTACAGCTCTTGATCATCTTCTCATTTTCTTTAACCGTCAGTTGATCACATGCAACAAACTCATACTTTGGTGCATAACAGTGTACTATCATGTTTTATAGCTGTGTGCATCTGATTTATCAAAACATCAGTGAAATCTCTAATTTTCTGCCATTAGAAGACTGGCTATAATCCTGTACAAACTTGTGGATTTATTTAAAAATGGACAGTTTTAGCATGTGGTCACTTGGTGCCTTGATCTCTTTATTGATATGAAAGCCTGTTGTCATGTTATTGTTGATAGTTTTTTCTAAACTCAATGGAAACCATTAATTGCTTCTTTGAAGTACATTACTTGATCCTTCCCCTTTAGCTGCATATGAGTTTGGAATCTTTGGATGCCTGTAGATGGTTCTGCTTGATCTTAGTTTTCTTTGAATTTTCTTCAATGTTGTTTTATTAACTGACTGTATCTTCTACTTTTTTGCAGCATCTGGCAAATATGGTGTGCTTGTTATTGTTGTAGTTGTTGGATAAGCTTACATTTGGTGGAAGGTAAATTCCATTTTCCTTTATAGGCATGTATAGCTGACTATCAAATGCCGTTCTTCACTTTCCTACGGCCAGAAATTGGATTTCTTTGATAAGTGAAGATGTCATTGATAATGAATTTATTCAGTCTTTGCCCTTTTATGGCAATAGGATTTTGGAAACACGTCAAGATTTCACTTTATCACAAATATCATGACAATATGTAGGTGTCTGTATGTAATATTATTCATGACATATTTTATGTGAAATTTCCATGTTAGATGCTTTAATTAGTTGGCTCATTGATAATGGAATATGCTTTGAGTTTGCTGGGAAAGCCTAAACCTGCCCTTTTATTCAACAGGAAAAAACGAGAATGAGAAAGAAGGCTACATGTGGCTCAAGGAGAGGGAAAAACCGGAAGATCATAGGGACCGTACAACGGACCAAAGATCGTGAAAAAGTGATTATTGAATGAAAAGAGGCAAATTTGCAGATTTTTAGTATAATGGTTTTTCTTGCTTACATTCCATTTTTTGTTATCCATGGTGGTTTCTTTTTTTTTTCTGGGTTTTTCTTTTGTAGTTCTTCCCATTTAAAGGGTGATGTATATATTTTTCGAACAATTAAGAAAGAAATAACTACGTACCTATTTCGGTTACAACTTTCACACGAGAGTAATTTCAAGTGCATGATGCAATGAATTTGTGAGAGAGCCTATTTTATTTTTTATTTTATTTTATTTTATTTTATTGATTGTGATTTGTGACAAATGTTAAATGGAGTGATGAAGATGATGACCTGCAAAATTCAAATTCGAATTCAAGATTATCATGTCGTTTTGATTTACACCTTCAATTACACCTTATTAAAATAAATATTATTTCATATAAAATGAAAAGACAAATTAAGGGGTACAAGATGTTAATATCTGTGAATTTGAATTATACGTGAGTAAAGTTACACCTTTAGTTGCACCTTCTGTATGTTCGTCACAAAGCAAAGTTATATAATGACGAATTATACGTGAGCGTCATTTTAAATACAAATAAACAATGATTTTTATCGGCACTATGAATTTCATCAGATAAGTATATTGTGACAAATATAAATGTATTATAACATATCGTCACAAAAGAAAGTTATATGATGACGAATTATATGTATGCGTCATTTTAAATACAATAAAAACACAACGATTTTGATAATGAATTTCGTCATAATATGTATAAATGTGACGAATTTAGATATATTATAATTTATCGTCACAAAAGAAAATTATACAATGACGAATTTTTTGTATGCGCCATTTCAAATGCGAACAAAAACAACGAATTTGTTTTCGTCATAGTGAATTTCATCATAATATATATTAATGTGACGAATGTAGATTTATTATAATGAATCATCACAATAAATAATTATATAATGACGAATTAGTCGTAAGCGTCATTTTAAGTAACAGTAACAGTGACGACAGTTTGTTTGTCACATTTACTTTCGTCACATTTTATATATATGTGACGAATTTAGATGTATAGGTGACAAATTGAGGCGCATTGTCATAAAAAAATCCATTTAAGTGACGAAAAAAGAATTCTAAGATGACGAATGTAGGATTCATCACCGTATGCAATGGTGTAACGACAATTTCTTAAATTCGTCACCATAAGGCAACATACAGTGACGATTTTTATTTCGTCACATGAATTTTCGTCACTGTTTGGCAGATTTCTTGTAGTGCCACCAAAATTGGAAGAACCCTAAACCTTTTCAAACTCTAATCCACCAAAATTGAAACAACATATCTAATACAAACACACATTATACAAACAACCCAAAATTGAAACACACATTCAATTTTGGAAAAAACAAAATTAATGAAAAAATTTAAAAAATCAAAAATTGAAACTCTAAATGAATAAACTTACATGTCAAATGTGACGGACGGCAACGGCGGAAATCCGCGGCGGCGGCGGCGGAATTTTAGTTTTTTTTTTCCAAACTCGGTTCTCTCTCGCTGTCTCTGTTGCTCTCGTTCTCTCTCTGTGTGCACTGTGTGTTCGCGTAAGAAAGAAAGAAGGAAGAAGTTTTTCTTATATTTAATTAAACAACGTATTTCGCAAATACGTTTTATTTCAGATTATTTGTAAGACGTATTCTCGGAATACGTTTTATATTTAATTCATTGTAAAACGTATTCCTAGAATACGGTTCACAAAATAAAAATAAATGGTTGAAGGTTCACATTTGAGGGGAATCGAGCCCGGGTGTGGGCGTTTCAAACCCTCAAGACTGACTTCAATACCATCCTGCCGCTAGGCGATCGCGTTAACTTCCACGCAAATTATATTCTTATCCGTGAATATCTATATTTATAGTATATAGTTGATAATATATAGTATATAGTATATATAATATAGTATATAGTATATAGTATATAACATATAGTTTATAGTATATAGTATATATTATATAGTCTATAGTATATAGTATATAACATATATAGACACTATATACTACATACTATTACATTATATACTATATACTACATACTATATACTATTACATTATATACTATATAGTATTAGACTATATGTTTTATGTTATATGTTCTAGTTATTTTTACCGGAGATAAATCGAAAGATTCGAACACCGGGTCGTGTCTCACGAGGAAGGTCATCCGGATTATTATGCACGTTTATTCAAACACAAATAAAAGAGATAAAATTCCTAAACATTCTAATTCAGAAGATTGATTTTGGTTTTAATTATCAACTACTAAGATTTAAATTAAACAAATTGAAATAGCAAATTAACACGGAGAACAAGTAGGATTTAAGGAGCTAGGGAGTCGGGGATATCCGTTTTAGTTCAAATTGCAATTAGTAGGCAAGTGATCGTTCGGCTAAATGAATCGAGTAACCTACTCGTTCAGAGATTCGTCCTCAATAACTTTTCATAACAAGAGGACAAATGTAAACGGCAAATTAATAATTTCATTTAACACCTAGGCAATACAGTTACGAACAAGCCTAGTTTATACGAGCTTATTTCGACCGACTCCTCCCCTTTCGGTTCTAAGAGTCGATTAAAGTAGACTAGAAGGTGATTAATCAACTAATCCGTTTAGAACTAACAACATCATGCAAGACCGAATCAAATTCAATTGTAAAACAATTGGAAATTGAAGTGTCACCCTTCAACAATTCTCAACTTTCAAGTACGATTATTGAAACCTTAATTAAGAACAACTCGCACAAATTGAACGATCAACGAATCCCAACAATCACAAACGAATCCAAAACATTAATCCCCTATTCCCTAGAATATGAATTTAGCTACTCATAATTGAATCAACACAAGCATTTATATCAACACAAGAATTCATATTCATCAAGCTAAATGAAAAGAAAATCTTACGAATGATAAAATCCCAAAGTTGAATCTGATAAACAAGCTTAAATACAAAGCACTGAAGAAAATCCCAATGAAATCCGCGATCAATTTATGTTTTTAGATGAAAAGGATGAAAGAAAAAAATGAAAAGTACGAGAGAAGGGAAGAGAGGGTAGGTTTTTTAATGTTCTCGAGTCGAGAGATCCAAACAAAGATTTTTCCCGATCATATATATATAGCAGCAGGGGCTAGCGGGCGTGGAACTGCATCGCGGCGTGAGGGGCGCTGATGCCGCGGCGCGGCACTGCTACACGGCGCAGCAGGAGCTGGCTTCGCGGCGCGGAGGGTAGGGCACGGCGCGACGCCTGGGATGCGTGGAAGCTGCAGTCCATGTCGTGGTGGCACCACGGCGCGGCAGGCACTAGTAGCACGGCGCGACACATCCTCGCGGCGCGGCAGGAGGCTAGGACGGCACGGGCCTGAGCATCTCATGGTCCATGTCGCCCTACTTTACGTTTTATGCTCGTATACGCTCATTTGGACTCAGAATTCGATTCCGTTTTCTCCTGTGTGATGCACACGAACTCCTCTATCTGATTACACTTACCCGATTAATGGTTTCCCAAAATTCTATTCTCTCGAGACTTCCAACCTGCACACCACCGACAACGAAAAATCGAAAAACGACCGAAAAACACAAGAAAGACAGAAAATAAAGCAAACCACAAAATAAACTATAAACGAACTAAAAACTAACGAAAATACCTAATATGGGGGGAAAAGAAAAGAAAAATAATGACGAAAAATGCAAAAAAAAAGGGGACAAACAACTCCCCCACACTAAAACCTTTGTTCGTCCCGAACAAAAAGAAAAGAAAAGACACAAAAGCAAGTCTCAAATTAATCAACTTAGCCGAGGAGACTTCGAATGACCAATCACGCATATCTCAATTACACTCGAATGCAACATTTTGAGAACACAGACGCTCAAGCATGATAATAACAAACATATATGCCTCACTTTGTTTCTTTCATAAATATGAAGTGGATACGCTCAAATTGGCCGATCGTTATGCATCAACATAAGCTTGCTTATCGTCTACTCATACTCTAAAACAATCAAAAATCATGAAATTCCAAATCAAGAGGACTACCGAGGTTGCAATAAAGGCAGTTTGCACAAGGGAAAGACCAAAATGAAGATAAAGCGGCTCAAATAAACAATCAAATTCTCGAGCATATAAACTACTCGAATGCTCCACCACCTATCAAAAATCAACATGAAACCAATCATTCCCATCAAAACACCATGCAACACTCATAGACGCTCAAGATGAAATGCAAATTAAGTACTCAACTTTTTTTTTTTAAAGGGAGTATGCTTTTTCCTAACAAGACTAAGACGTAAGGACGACATTCTCTAGGTTTAAACATTGGAGGTCATCCAAGTTTTCAAGAGTGGTTTCCCAATACTCATTACTCGTAAAAAAATTCCACAAGTAAGCGGAGTAGAATCCATTTAGTCCGTCTTGCTAATTCCTTTTGTTTTTTTAAGTACTCAAAATGCAACTCAACAAGTTCTCAACCTTCTCCAAACACATATTAAAAAGCTCCGTCATCATATCAAGTATACTGTCAAGTCTCAACATATTCAAACGAATCGGTTGACAAGAAATACGGTTCAAGGCTCAACGGGCTACTAGTGAAAATATAAGTTCAAGGGTCAATGAAAAAGGGCTAAAACGAGCTATGTCAAAGAAATGCCTCAATCATTTTCACAAATCACAACTTCAATCGCTTCATTTCAAAACAGACTCAAAGCAAGTTCTGATCAACAAAGATTTCGACCAATATCTCTCAAGAAACAACATAAGGCTCAAACCTCGCAAAGGGTAAATAAATGTCCAACAAAACGACACATCGAGTTCATCAAAATATGCTGGTCATGGTCATCATCACATCTCCTCAACATCATCAACAATCATCAACAATTCTCAAAATTCACCATAATCCATACTCAAAAAACACACAAACGGACTCAAGATAAGACACTAAAATAA